TGAAGGAGAACTCAAAAGCTTTACAGACAAGCAAAAGCTGAGAGAATTCAGCACCACCAAACCAGCTCTTCAACAAATATTAAAGGATCTTCTCTAGACAGGAAACACAGAAAGGTGGTATAAACGTGAACCCCAAACAACAAAATAAATGGCAACGGGACCATACCTATCAATAATTACCTTAAATGTAAATGGGTTGAATGCCCCAACCAAAAGACAAAGGCTGGCTGAATGGATAAAAAAGCAAGACCCCTATATATGCTGTCTACAAGAGACCCACCTCAAAGCAAGGGACACATACAGACTAAAAGTGAAGGGCTGGAAAAAAATATTCCACGCAAACGGAGACCAAAAGAAAGCAGGAGTCGCAATACTCATATCAGATAAAATAGACTTTCAAATAAAGGCTGTGAAAAGAGACAAAGATGGACACTACATAATGATCAAAGGATCAATCCAAGAAGAAGATATAACAATTATAAATATATATGCACCCAACATAGGAGCACCACAATATGTAAGGCAAATGCTAACGAGTATGAAAGAGGAAATTAATAGTAACACAATAATAGTAGGAGACTTTAATACCCCACTCACAACTATGGATAGATCAACTAAACAGAAAATGAACAAAGAAGCACAAACTTTAAAGGACACAATGGACCAGCTAGACCTAATTGACATCTATAGGACGTTTCACCCCAAAACAATCAACTTCACCTTTTTCTCAAGTGCACACGGAACCTTCTCCAGAATAGATCACATCCTGGGCCATAAATCTAGTCTTGGTAAATTCCAAAAGATTGAAATCATTCCAGTCATCTTTTCTGACCACAGTGCAGTAAGATTAGATCTTAATTACAGGAAAAAAATTATTAAAAATTCAAACATATGGAGGCTAAACAACACGCTTCTGAATAACCAACAAATCATAGAAGAAATCAAAAAAGAAATCAAAATATGCATAGAAATGAATGAAAATGAAAACACAACAACCCAAAACCTATGGGACACTGTAAAGGCAGTGCTAAGGGGAAGATTCATAGCATTACAGGCCTACCTCAAGAAACAAGAAAAAAGTCAAATAAATAACCTAACTCTACACCTAAAGCAACTAGAGGAGGAAGAAATGAAGAACCCCAGGGTTAGTAGAAGGAAAGAAATCTTAAAAATCAGGGCAGAAATAAATGCAAAAGAAACTAAAGAGATCATAGTAAAAATTAACAAAGCTAAAAGCTGGTTTTTTGAAAAAATAAACAAAATTGACAAACCATTAGCAAGACTCATTAAGAAACAAAGGGAGAAGAACCAAATTAACAAAATTAGAAACGAAAATGGAGAGATCACAACAGACAACACTGAAATACAAAGGATCATAAGAGACTACTACCAGCAGCTCTATGCCAATAAAATGGACAACTTGGAAGAAATGGACAGATTCTTAACAAAGTATAACTTTCCAAAACTGAGCCACAAAGAAATAGAAGATCTTAACAGACCCATCACAAGCAAGGAAATTGAAACTGTAATCAGAAATCTTCCAGGAAGCAAAAGCCCAGGACCAGATGGCTTCACAGCTGAATTCTCCAAAAATTTAGAGAAGAGCTAACACCTATCTTACTCAAACTCTTCCAGAAAATTGCAGAAGAAGGTAAACTTCCAAACTCATTCTATGAGGCCACCATCACCCTAATTCCAAAACCAGACAAAGATGCCACAAAAAAAGAAAACTACAGGCCAATATCACTGATGAACATAGATGCAAAAATCCTTAACAAAATTCTAGCAAACAGAATCCAACAACATATTAAAAAAATCATACATCATGACCAAGTGGGCTTTATCCCAGGAATGCAAGGATTCTTTAATATCCGCAAATCAATCAATGTAATACACCACATTAACAAATTGAAAGATAAAAACCATATGATTATCTCAATAGATGCAGAAAAAGCCTTTGATAAAATTCAACATCCATTTATGATTAAAACTCTCCAGAAAGCAGGAATAGAAGGAACATACCTCAACATAATAAAAGCTATATATGACAAACCCACAGCAAGCATCACCCTCAATGGTGAAAAACTGAAAGCATTTCCCCTGAAATCAGGAACAAGACAAGGGTGCCCACTCTCACCACTACTATTCAACATAGTTTTGGAAGTTTTGGCCACAGCAATCAGAGCAGAAAAAGAAGTAAAAGGAATCCAGATAGGAAAAGAAGAAGTGAAACTCTCGCTGTTTGCAGATGACATGATCCTCTACATAGAAAATCCTAAAGACTCTATCAGAAAATTACTAGAGATAATCAACGAATACAGTAAAGTTGCAGGATATAAAATTAACACACAGAAATCTCTTGCATTCCTATACACTAACAATGAGAAAACAGAAAGAGAAATTAAGGAAACAATACCATTCACCATTGCAACAAAAAGAATAAAATACTTAGGAGTATATCTACCTAAAGAAACAAAAGACCTATACATAGAAAACTATAAAACACTGATGAAAGAAATCAAAGAGGACACAAGCAGGTGGAGAAATATACCGTGTTCATGGATTGGAAGAATCAATATTGTCAAAATGGCTATACTACCCAAAGCGATCTACAGATTCAATGCAATCCCTATCAAACTACCAACGATATTTTTCACAGAACTAGAACGAATAATTTCACAATTTGTATGGAAATACAAAAAACCTCGAATAGCCAAAGTAATCCTGAGAAAGAAGAATGGAACTGGAGGAATCAATCTGCCTGACTTCAGACTATACTACAAAGCCACAGTCATCAAGACAGTATGGTACTGGCACAAAGACAGAAATATAGATCAATGGAACAGAATAGAAAGCCCAGAGATAAATCCACGAACCTATGGTCACCTTATCTTTGACAAAGGAGGCAAGGATATACAATGGAAAAAAGACAACCTCTTTAACAAGTGGTGCTGGGAAAACTGGTCAACCACCTGTAAAAGAATGAAGCTAGAACACTTTCTAACACCATACACAAAAATAAACTCAAGATGGATTAAAGATCTAAATGTAAGACCAGAAACTATAAAACTCCTAGAGGAGAACATAGGCAAAACACTCTCCGACATAAATCACAGCAGGATCCTCTATGACCCACATCCCAGAATTTTAGAAATAAAAGCAAAAATAAACAAATGGGACCTAATGAAACTTAAAAGCTTTTGCACAACAAAGGAAACTATAAGCAAGGTGAAAAGACAGCCCTCAGATTGGGAGAAAATAATAGCAAACGAAGCAACAGACAAAGGATTAATCTCAAAAATATACAAGCAACCCCTCCAGCTCAACTCCAGAAAAATAAATGACCCAATCAAAAAATGGGCCAAAGAACTGAACAGACATTTCTCCAAGGAAGACATACAGATGGCTAACAAACACATGAAAAGATGCTCAACATCACTCATTATCAGAGAAATGCAAATCAAAACCACAATGAGGTACCATTACACACCAGTCAGGATGGCTGCTATCCAAAAGTCTACAAGCAATAAATGCTGGAGAGGGTGTGGAGAAAAGGGAACCCTCTTACACTGTTGGTGGGAATGCAAATTAGTACAGCCACTATGGAAAACAGTGTGGAGATTTCTTAAAAAGCTGGAAATAGAACTGCCATATGACCCAGCAATCCCACTTCTGGGCATACACACCGAGGAAACCAGATCTGAAAGAGACACGTGTACCCCAATGTTCATCGCAGCACTGTTTATAATAGCCAGGACATGGAAGCAACCTAGATGCCCATCAGCAGATGAATGGATGAGGAAGCTGTGGTACATATACACCATGGAATATTACTCAGCCATTAAAAAGAATGCATTTGAATCAGTTCTAATGAGATGGATGAAACTGGAGCCCATTATACAGAGCGAAGTAAGCCTGAAAGATAAAGACCATTACAGTATACTAACACATATATATGGAATTTAGAAAGATGGTAACGATAACCCTATGTGCAAAACAGAAAAAGAGACTCCTATGTATAGAACAGACTTGTGGACTCTGGGAGAAGGCGAGGGTGGGATGTTTCAAGAGAACAGCATTGAAACACGTATATTATCTAGGGTGAAACAGTTCACCAGCCCAGGTTGGGTGCACGAGACAAGTGCTTGGGCCTGGTGCACTGGGAAGACCCAGAGGGATTGGGTGGAGAGGGAGGTGGGAGGGGGGCCCGGGATGGGGAATACATGTAAAAAAAAAAAAAAAAAGATACACTATGGTTGTGATTAAAAAAAAAAATAAATTAATTAATTTAAAAATAAATAAATAAAATTTAAAAAAAAAATAATAAAAAAGAAAAAAAAAAAAAGAAAAAAAAAAAAGAAGATGTGAGTTTGAGCAACCTCCGGGAGATAGTGTAGGACAGGAAAGCCTGGCATGCTGCAGTCCATGGCGTCACAAAGAGTTGGACACAACTGAGCGACTGAACAATAAAGGCATATTAAGGAGGCAAGACTCTGTAGAAAAGAATACTGATTGTGACTGGGAAAACGGGATGCAGACTTACCAACACTGTGATCTGAGGTGACTTCACCTCTTAAGAGCCTCAGTTTTCTCACCTACAAAAATGGTGACATGCTTCCTACCATGAAGGGCTATTGGGAAAGATCATGAGTCAAAAGACATGCTCCTCCATTTTGCATGCTGCAGAGATAGGACATTGCCCATTACAGATGGTCTGCATTCAGGCACTCAGTGATAAGTATCTTCATAGCATCCTTATGAGTCTGGCACTGTAAAAGATGCTATAGATCTGGTGGTGAATGATACTGGTGATACTGACAGGCTCTCAGCTCTTAGGGAGCTTACATAGCAAAGTGGGAAGACTGACAGAATTCACAGATGTCAATCAAATGCCACAGAAATTAGTAACACCCTCTGTTAAATTCTGTAAATTATAAATCATCCAGAACATCATCAGGGCAAAATTTAAATGACAAAATTAAAAAATATGAGTCACATACCTGCCATCCATCTCGAATCTTCTGATTGAAGATTCCATATTCATATCGGATGCCATATCCATAGGCTGCAAGCCCCAGAGTTGCCATGGAATCCAGGAAGCAGGCTAAATTAAACCGAGCACAAGCAAAAGACAGAGTTATCAAGGTAAGTAAAAATTTGTCTTTCTCTAAAAAACATGGCAGCCACAAAACATTTTTCTATGAGAAACCATATTTGTATTTTAAAGCACAGAGACTGCTGCACAGTGAGTGTTAAGTTTTTAAAGTCACATTTTCCCTGATTATAATAAAATAAATACCATAGAAAAGTTAGAAAATAAAAAAATGCATAAAGAAGAAAACAAACATCATTTATTATCTCACTATCTAGAAACTACCTCTATGTACTTGGCATTCCATTTGAGAATAGCGAAGGAAACTGGTCTGTGTTCGACATGTCCTTTATTGTGCCTGTCCCTTGCACTGCACTTTCTAAGGAAACCTGTCTCCATGCCCTCTTGCTTGAAAAGACATGTATAATTTACATGTGACCCATCTGACTGACTGGGACATCTGTGGCAGACTCTGTTTCTGGCTAATAGAATTCCAGTGTTGTTCACATACCAGGTTATGCTTCAGGGAGGCTGGTCCTGGAAGTGAATGTTGCTTGACTAAACTTCTAGTTTAATCATGGTAATTCTATGTCCTTCACCAGTTTTGGTTTTGGTCTGAGCATACGATGTATCATTCTATCCAGTGAGAGCTGCTAGGAGGTCTGCTGGGTACAGTTAAAGATTTTCCTTACTGCTGCTATTTTTTTTTCCATGAAAAATCAAAAGAACCACAGAGATGCAGAGTCCTGACTGAACTGTGCTGCTGAATAAATAAACCTTGGAATAGCCAACCTCTAGAGTTGTTCTGTGATAATACACGGGCTTGTTGGCTGAAGTTTTAAAAAATTTATTTTATTTTTGGTTCTGTGTTGCTGCACTCAGGCTTTAGTTGTGGTAAGCAGGGCCTACTCTCTAGTTATAGTGCACAAGGCTTCTCATTGCAGTTGCTTCTCTCGTGGCACAAGGGTCCGAGAGAGCAGGCTCAGTAGTTGTACACAGGCTTGGTTGCCTCATGGTGCATAGCATCTTCCCGGACCAGGAATCAAACCTGTGTCCCTTGTATTGGCAGGCAAATTCCTAACCACTGGACCACCAGGGAAGTCCAGGATGCATATTTTTAACTTAATGGTATCACTATTATATTTTTAATATTTTCCTCTATATTTGTTGAAAAATAATTTTTGGATTAAAAACTCAAACTGAATCCATACAAAAAAGGATATTCATTAATTAAATCGAACCAACAGTATAACAAGTGTATCACTGCCTACTAGTCAATCAAAGAGCAAACTGTCAAATGCACAAGATGATAACACAATGGCTAAACAACTTAGGTCCTACCACACAAGTATGTGAATTGAGCAGTTGTGAACAGTGAAGTGAAGGGGCCACTGTGGAAACCCTTCAGGGCACAGGAAGCATCTGGTTAGCTTTGCGGTGTGAAGCAATGTCTCCAAACTTTTTAAGCAATGTCTCTTTTGTTCAAGTTCCTTTCTCTACTGTCTGTCTAGAACTGGTCAAACCACAGTGCAGAGCCAAAAACATATACATCTACTACTAGGTCACACCTTGCACTTCTCCTAGACAGTCTGCTGGTTCTATAGGAATAGTCGTGCGTAGCATCTGAGAAGGTGTCAATAGCCAGACAACACAGAACATTCACGATGTCGCTTACCAGCAAGCCTCCCAAGACCACCATTGCCAAGCCCAGCATCTTCTTCAATTTCTTCTAACTCCTCCATATCCAGTCCAAGCTGGGAATGAGAGGAAAACAACATTGAACGTGGATACAAACAGGGTACTTCAGAGAGAGCAATCATTTCCTAAAGCTTTGGGTTGGGCATCCAGGTTCATCTGTGAACTCAATCCTTCCAGGTCCCTCAGTGCTAGAACTGACATCAGATAACCCCTGCAGATGCTGGTGACTGAAGACGCAGACTGTCCGTGAGGGCACAGCAGCAGACTGGAGAAGAGTATGGACTCTAAATATCCATTATGACTTTGTTATTTATTAGTTACATGACCCTGGGCAAGGTACTAAATCTCACTATGACTTTTATCTCCTGTTTAAAAATGACATGGGAGCAGCCCAGTGGTTAAGACTCTATGCTTCTATTGTCAGGGGCCCAGGTTCAATCTCTGGTGGGGGAACTAAGATCCTGCAAACTGTGCCATACAACCAAAAGAAAAATAATAAAACTAAAAAAAAATTAAAATAAAATGAGGATAATAGTATCTATTGGAGAAGGAAATAGCAACCCACTCTAGTATTTTTGCCTGGGAAATTCTATGGACAGAGGAGCCTGGCAGGCTGCAGTCCACGGGGTTGCAAAGAGTTGGACATGACTTAGCGACTAAAATAAAACAATGACAGTAGTATCTATTTCATTTAGGACTGTGAATTAAATGAGATTATACAAACAAAGCACTCAGAATGATTCCTGGGTAGATATTCCTCAATAAATATTGGCTATTACTATTTCTTAAAGTTATTTTTTGTTGTCAGGGTAAAACCTCAGAAATAGTCTAGTACCAAGTCCATACTAACTGGACTAAATTAGAAAATTACCGAAAGATATGAGGTCAGATTCTCTGGGATGGACTAAAGTTCATTGTTTCATGACCACAGTGTATTTACTCACTGAGGTCAAAGGTTGTCAACCCAAAACCAGTTAGTGAGTCACTGCCTGTAAGATCTGAGGCCAGACAGCAGTCAGGGAAATCTCAGTCCTGTGGTCCAGCTGGGATGGGCCTAAAATCCTCTACTTCTCTGGGGTAGATAACAGGCTGTAGGGGAACAGTCGCGGGGGAGATAAGTTAGGAGTTTGGGATTAACATGGGCACACTCTGCTATATATAAAATAGGTGAACAACAAGGACCTACTGTATAGCACAGGGAACTATACTCAATATCTTGTAATAGCCTATACTGGAAAAGAATCTAAAAAGGGGGGGCGACAGAGGATGAGATGATTGGATGGCATCATTGACTCGATGGACATGAGTTTGAGCAAGTTCTGGGAGTTGGTGATGGACAGGTAAGCCAGTTGTGCTGCAGTCCATGGGCTCGCAAAGAGTTGGACATGACTGAGCAACTGAACTGAATACATATATATATATATATCTGAGTCACTTTGCTGTACACTTGGAACTAACACAACATTGTAAATTAACTATATTCTATTAAAAAAAGAAAGAAAGAGAGAGACTGTGAGAGGCTGAGGAGCATCTATAACCTTGGGGATGGATAGAATTGGTTGACAGTCAGCTCTTTGCCCTCAAGCGTTAGAACCAACACAGCCAGAGGCCACTAGCAGCAGTATGGACTCATATCAAAATTGTGTAGCCCTAGAGATAACTTTCACTCTTGCCTGGAAAATCCCATGGACGGAGGAGCCTGGTAGGCTGCAGTCCATGGGGTCACTAAGAGTCGGACATGAGTGAGTGACTTCACTTTCACTTTTCACTTTCATGCATTGGAGAAGGAAATGGCAAACCACTCCAGTGTTCTTGCCTGGAGAATCCCAGGGACGGGGGAGCCTGGTGGGCTGCCATCTATGGGGATGCACAGAGTTGGACACGACTGAAGCGACCTAGCAGCAGCAGCAGCAGAGATCACTTTAGACTGCTCATCTTACCATGAGGAAACTGATGGTCAGATAAATTAAAAGACCTGTCCTCTGCTGACTAGATAATAATCTAGCCCATGCCTGGCTAATGATGGTCTGTTGTGAAATGATAGCAAACTTATCTGAAAGTGATGCAATCCATGAAATTAGATATTGTTTTACATGGAAACATAATATACACATTTAAAAATGCATGCTTAAAGTGGATGTCCCAGTTGCCATGGGGCTGGTTACCAATCTGGATTCCTATCTTTATATCAAAAATTGCTTTCTGGTATAAATCTTGATAACTGCATCTTCTAAGAGTTCAAAAATGGATCTGCCTCTATTCATTGTTAAAAGGGCTTTCAAATTTGCTCCTGATTCTCTAGAGTACTGGGGTCCCTGTGACGCCAGCTGCTAATACTAGTGCTTAGGATTTGTAACATTCTTAATCATCCGAATCTAGAGTAGGCTGCACTCCATGAGCAAGGAGTCACTTCATCACACCTGGTTCGATTCTGGTCCAAAGGAAGTATATTTTTTCAGCTGATATCAAGGGAAGCAAAGAACAGGGAAGCAGAGGGGAGCTGCAATTGTTCTTTGACACGGAATGCTCTGCAAACCCACATGAAGGAAACCAGCCCTAGTGACAAGCAGCTGTCCACATGAGGGGACAACAACCCCATGCTAGGACAAAAGCAATTTAAACAGTCTCTCATCTAGAGTGCATCTTTGCAAATACACAGTCCTCCCATCAACCACATCAGAAAGGTTAATGACTATTTTTGGTATGAATATGCTTGAAGGTCAGGAGAGGACCAGTTAAATATCATACAAACAAATTAGCACATCAGGTTCAAGACCTCAAGCTTCTCATTTAAAGAGGAAGTGTATTTTTACATCTCATGAAGCAATAGAGAAAGTATGACAACAGAATTTTAAAAGCTTATTAATTTCAGATAATGTCTTGATATACATACAACAGTCAAATTTTGATCATTTTTTAAAAGGAGATAGGAGTCCAAAGAAAAGCCTGTGATTCTGATAGCAGGGACTTAAGTACTTTTTAAAGGCTGTTCAGATGCAAATTTCTAAAACGCAATTTGTTGTGGAATGCTGTCAAAAACTGATTGCAGAACAAAATTCTCATGGGGCAAAGCTAGTTCTCTAACTGTGTTCCTCTTAAACCAGAGATAAGTAGTACTATAGTGTACATTTCTAATAGTCTGTAACAGCCATGTCTACAGAAACAATTTTTCATCTTTTTTTTCTTTTTTTTTTAGGGGGGGATGCTCTTTCCCCAAGGTTCCTGAGTTGCACTTGAAATTTAAAGGGAGAGAATGAGAGAAATACAGAGATAATGTACCTGGTAGATGGCCTCATCACAGGCATTCTGCAGGCCCAGGTTGATCATGGTGTTCTGTAATGTTCGGCCCATATAAAATTCCAAAGAGAGGTAATAAACCCTCTGAAACAAAGAAAAATGATGTCACGTGAACTGCTACGAGGCCAACCTTACTTGTCAACATAAAAACACAAGGTAAACAATAAAAAGCAAATAGGCAGGACTACTTTAACTCAGGTTCAAACGAGACTCCTATAGGTGCATGAAGGGCTAAAGAAAAGCACTACTGACAAAAAATGGAAAAACCATTTTATATCTTGGTTTTGGTAACACTTAAATATCTTTTACTCCCCAGGGAGGTAAAAAAAAAAAAAGCAAACTCATCCAACTGAATAGATTCAATGTTTTGTGGGTTTTTTTCTTCTGATTCACAAGCCTCATGAAAAAGCGTATGTTTTGGGTAAAGAGCGGTCAGAATGACATAGCTCATCATTCATCTGTAAAATGTTTCTAGGATGATGGTCAGGTGGGCTTGGCTGTGAGTAGCTCAAGTCATCCAGGAAACTCAAAGATTAACTCCTTTCAGACACACCCACTGGCTACAAAGTATTCCTTAACTGTTAGTGCTAGTAATATTATAATTAAATATTTTACAATTAAAATTACTCTAGAAAGTCTATGAATTGACAATAGTTTCTTCTGAATAACAAGTTTATTGGTGTTTGTTCTTGGTGAAATGGGACACTTCTCTATCAGCTTAGAAACTATTTGCCTTTGACATGGCAAAAGCCAGGTGATCAGAGTTGAAGTGAAAGGTACAAAGCTCAGACATTACTAAAACCCTTTAAAATATAACTACAGTTTACTAATTTATTAAAAGGATTATTAACTTTACCACCCTCTTGAAAAGGATTTGGTCAAGCAGAAAATACTAAAAAAATATGAATACAGTTCAATATAAGGAATGCTTATTATTATATTTAACTCACTAGTTACACATATATACTTAAAATATTATAAGAAAATGTCAATTTAGGAATCTCAGTTTTCCCCATTTTCATTTTATGAAAGAATTGAATTCGAAGTCTCCCATGGAGAGTCAATATGTGATTTAATACTATTTTCCAGAGCACATCATTATTACTTTTATCCAAGTTGCTTGAATATCTATAATGCTATCATTAGGGTTCTCATTAGTTTATTAGATACCTTTGTGAGTTAGGAAAAAGGGGCAGATGCAGGTCAAAGAGGTGCAAGTTGCCACTCACCCCCATGACTGGTGCTCTTGTACCACTCACTACATCACAAAAAGGAAGAGCTTCTCAAGTCACAAACATCCATTTATGTAACATTAGGGCAATTATTTGTGCATTTTCATGATCTCTATCATAAAACCACTGTGTATGGAGTTTTTACTTTTTAGTGATCTAGAAAAAGCTTGCTGATAAACACAGTATATATATATCAAGTACTTGCAATTGTGAGGTCATAGCCCCAGGAATAATGACTACATTTGTGTTAATTTTCTTTCTCTCCCTCTTAAGAATTCTAAATTAGCATGAATTTAAGAGTTTTTCAGATATTTAAAGCTCTTCATAAAAAAAAAAAAAAGTTGCTGCTTAAAATATTTTAAAATAAAATAATTAGAGAAACTTGTTGCATGACAGATTTTCCAAAGACATAAATTTAAGATGATTTCCTATTTTCCCATAAATAAATTTTGGAGGGAGGGATTGCACCTTATATTTGGGGATACAGAAGACCTTAAAAAAATTGATCTCCCTCATCCTCTTAGTTAGTGGTCTCTAAACATTTATATATTTATTTTTTCATTTATTTTTATTAGTTGGAGGCTAATTACTTTCTAGTCTCTAAACATTTAAAACATACTTTTGATAGTAAAATATTTGAGCATTGCCAATATATGCTATAGATTATATACATCCACTACTATTATTAATATCTTATGTGTATTTTACAAAAAATAGAAAATTTCAAAAGGCTTACAAAGATAAAATAAAGAAGACGAAACAGTATGTAATATTTTAAAAATAATTAAAATTTTTCCTAGCATTAATTAGAGGTCCTGGTAGTTCTGGGAAGGTGTATAGAAAAGATAGCAACAAAAAAAAAAAAAAAAGAAAGAAAAGATAGCAACACAATTGAGCCTTGCAGGGCAGGCAAGAACTGGGCAGAAACACCTAGTGGGAATGAATGGCATTCTGAGGGAAGGGTGCAGTATTGGCAGAGGCCCGGAAGTGAGGAGATCAGGGCATGGATGGGGATGGCAAGTTGGGTTGGTGGGAGAACATGGTAAGTCCAGGAGGGTTATGGGAAATAACCTCACCTGGGCTGTGACGGGCCTTCAGTGCTAGATAAAGAGGACTGTGCCAGGTGACCAGAGCCAGTGCTATAGATCTGAGCAGAGGGCAAGGTGTGTCACTTTAGGAGGTTTAATCAGATTATAATGCATAGAACGAGATGGGATTGCAAACTCAAATGCCTTCAGGAGCCAGGCTGAGAAGATAAATGCATAGAAAACCAATGAGGAGTAGTGGGCCAAGAGCTGGGTTGGACATGTCCTGCCCAAAGGCACGGAAAATAAAATTGCTTAAAGATGTCTAACAAACCAAACAAAATAAGTCTGCTAGCCATTTATTCAGCTGCATGCTGCCAAGTTTAACCACTTCTGGGAAGCAATCATTAGAAATCTACTTCTTGGGAGAGCAGAGATCAGGGCCTCAATTAGGCAGAGAAGAGAGAATGGAAGAGAGTGGGTGATTTCAAGGCCAACTGCAGAAATCAACAGAATTTGGTGAACTGCTGAATGGGGAATACATGAGGAAGTCAAAGGTGAAAGCGGAGTTTTGTGTCTGGATGACCTGTCAGGATGACAGTGCCGTTAACATTAGAAACACAAGAGGGGGCAGGATTGGGAGGGATGATGATTCTCATCCAAACATGCCAGTTTGAGGGAATAAGGGGAGATCTAGTTATGGTCACCAAGCACTTATAAATGTAGGAATGGAGTCTGAAAAGGAATTGAGACTAGAGATCCAGATGTGGGATTCATTTGCAGTTGCCAGGCAGAAGGGGAGGTGGGAGAAATTATATTGGACAGATATATATTGGACACACCTACTGGCTCCACTTTGTGCTGAGGGCTGGGACCTTTTATTAACACTGGAACGGATCTTGTTCACTTGTATCACTATCAGAATATCTGGCTTAAATGCTTGCCCAGTGCAGAAACTTTCAAGAGGAGAAAACTATGAAGTACCAGTTAAGTCATTGGCAAAGAAACATACAAGGCGAGTGTGTGTTCTATGGCACTAAATGCTTTGGAAATGTATGTGTGTGTCAGGGGAGGCGGGAGTTCTAACACGGCTCATCATCTCACATTCCAGCTTAAAAACTTAAAGAATAATTTTTAATGTAAGGTGCAGTCCTCTCTATGCAAATTAAAAATACAGTAAATATATGCATACAAAAAGTGTTTTCTAAGGATATATTTTGGGGCTTCCAAGATGGCACTAGTGGTAAAGAATCTGCCTGCCAGCGCAGGAGATGGCAGGAGTGGCAGGGTTCAATCTCTGGGTCAGGGAGATCGCGTGAGGAAGGAAATGGCAACCCACTACAGTCTTCTTGCAGGGAGAATCCCATGAACAGAGGAGCCTGGCAGGCTGCGGTCTGCCGGTCTAAAAGAGTCTGACACCACTGACCGCAGTGCAGCGGAAGAAAATATTTTAGCAGTTGCTACCTTCCGGTAGAGACCCAGGCATCAGGGGTGAGGACGTTACTTTCCATTTGAAAGTTTCATTGGAGCTGCAAATTCTCACTCAGGAATTTTTTGCTCAGGGCTTCTTTGAGCACTTGGAATATGGACTTTTTTTTTTTTCATGCTTTCTGTGTTAAAACAATTTGCAATAAATATTTGGGCCACTGTCTCCAGGATTTACCCATTTTTCACCCTTTCCAATACACTCTCTCACCCTTGCTGGGCACAGCACAATCCTCGCTGCCAAGTCCTCCTCCAGCCCGCGTGCGGCGGGTAGGAGTGGTTTGTGAACAGCGGCTCCTCAGCAGTCCGGGGGTGGCCTGGCCCTCGGCCCCCAGGCAGCAGGAACCAACTTAGTCCAGGAGCTCCACACCCGACTCCAGGTAGTGGGGTGCGGGGAGGGGGGACACAGAGCTCTGAGCGTGGGTCAGGACCTCTACCCTCGCCCCCTCCTACTCTCCCCATCCCTTCGACCAGCCCGGGTCTCGCACGCAACCCCCATCTCATCTTCTCCTCTAAAAAGGTTCTGTGGGCTGTGATGCGCCTTCCTCCGGCTCCTGCCCCACCTGCCCCCTTAAATCTTATTACCATTTGCCGACCTCTGCAGGTCTCGGCTCCCTAAACCTTCAGCTCTCCCTTCCCCACTCCCCCTACCCCGCACCCCCCAAGGCAGGGTTTTTAATCCACTTTGTTCTGGATCGACTGTTTGGGGCCTAGAACTGTGCCTGGCATTCAGACTGGAGCCGCCAGCTATCTCTAGATTAGATGCTGAGAGTAGATGCTCCAAAAAGAGTTTGTGAAACCAGCGGACAGGCGAGGGAGGCTTGGGCTTCCGCTCCAGGAGATCCCCGGGGACGGGAGCGCAGTGGTTAGGGTGGGGATGGCGCCCGGATAACCGAGACGTGACTGGGGTGTTGGCGGAATGCGAGATCTGACCGCGGCTGCACACCCGCCGCCCACCCACTCTCCCCCGGACTTCGCGGGGTGTGTGTGTGTCTAGGGGGAGGATCGGGGTTAGGAGCAGTCCCCCCTAGGGCTCCACCCACCCAGCCGGGGCCGTCGCCCCGGCGATCGGTTGCCGCCCTCCCAGAAGGGCAGGGCGCCGCGCAGGGCGCCGGGGAGCGCCCGCCGGCTCCGCGGCGCGCGGGCAGTACCTTGGGGCACTTCTCGTAGTAGTACTGCTGCGTGCGGATCCAGCGCCCCACCAGGTGGTCGCGCACCGTGTGCGCCAGCGCGAAGAAGTAGTCGCGGGGGGTGGCCACGTTGCGGTCCTTGACCAGAGTGAAGTGCAGGTGCCGATTGAAGCCCTTCTTCAGCTCGGCCACGTTCTCCACGCCCACGATGCCGCGGATGCTGATCTGCCGCCGCTTCTCCTGGTCGGTCAGGGGCTTGGCCATGGCGGCGGCCGGTAGCGCGGCAAGTGGGACGTGCGGCTCCGGACTGGCGGCGGGACAGGGGCGGAGCAGCTCTGCGCCGCTCGCCGCTTTTGAGTCGGAAGAAAGTGTGGGGTCCGCCCCTGGGCGCGGCTGCGCCGCCCCGGGTCCCGGCCCGCCTGCCTGTGTAGCGGAGGGAGGGCCCGGCTCCCCCTCTCCCTACCTCCCGGCTCCGGGCCGAAGGGGCGGGAGCGGCGGTCGGTGCTAGCCGGTGGGACCTCCGCGGGCGAGAGTCTGCGCACCCGCTATGCCTGGATGGGGCGCCGCTGGGCGCTGCAGGCTGGAGGGACCTCGGGTGAATCCTCTTGGCGGTTGAAAAGGGATCTGTGGTAACTCATGGACGCTCCCTTCAGGATCTGTGGAAATGGGGAAGTGGGGAGAGGAGGGAATCTGTTCTGCTTCCCCGCTCCGGAGTGTTGGGTATAAGAAGAATGTCTGGGTGCGAAAGCTTTGTAAGCAGATGAAGTGGGAATGGGTGGTCACTAGAGATAGAGGGGGGAGGGGGGGGGTTTGACCTACGAGGAGGTATTTTTGGCCTAAGCCATTTTGTGATCCAAGCTTGGCCATAATATTTGTCCTGAACAGGTCACAGCAGTTAACGATCTTAAGGGAAGTAAGGGAAAGCAGGAACAAAGGGAAAACAGACAAGAAAAAATAGTTCGGTGATAAAAAGAGTCCTAGTTTGTCCTCAGGCGACAGACATAACAATCTGATGCTCATCTTTGAGTTCTGCAGGAGCTAAGGCCCCCACTCAAGGGGAGGATGGAAAGATGGAATGGACCCTTGTGACTTCAAGTAACTAAAGCTAGACCTTGGCCAGGTGTTTGCTGATTTCTCAGCCCAAGCCCCTTCATGAATATACCTGTGCCTTTAGCTTAAAACTTCCCCAATTTTGCTATTCAGAGAGGCACTGGTTTGGGAAAGATCCTGTGTTCTCCTTAATTGCTGCAAATAATAAATCCTTCCTTCTCTGCATCTTTGGCTTAATTGTGTCTTTTGGCTCAACTCCCACCAAGAAGAGAACACAGTTTTCAGGTACTAGCATGTTGTTGGCAGGCTTTTATTTTACAGAGGTTTATTTGTTATGTTACTATTATTGCTGTTGTTTCTCACCTGGAATGGGTTCTACCACAAGCTTCTGGAGAGTCGGCACTATTACCTCGGTTGTCACGCATCCCTGTTAGTTCTTGGCATCCCCCCCCCATCTTGGGTCAGAAAAAGAATCCTAGGGCACCCCCTTTGCTGTGATTTAGTTTTTGAGGACCCAGGAATTCAGAGTTCCTGATTCTTAGACTCATGCTTGCCTTGTCAAGAGGATGAGGTGGTTGGATGGCATCACTGACTCAATGGGCATGAGTTTGAGTAAACTACGGGAGTTGGTGATGGACAGGGAGGCCTGGTGTGTTGCAGTCCATGGGATCTCAATGAGTCAGACCCCAAGACTAAGCAACTGAACTGAACTGAACTGCCTTGTCAAAGCACTCAACTGTTCATCTGTAGAGACAGGTTAGTGAGAATCAAAGAAAGTCCTGAGTTGGAGCTTCAGACAGATTAGGTGGCAGGGGTTTTTATTTTGGCCCCTTTTTTGAATTATGTTTCAAATGAAGGCAGGGCGGAGGGAGGGAAATGAGAAAGGTGTGTCCTGTAATAGGAAGGGATAGCTGACTGAGCTGGCTGCCTTGTTTACATGAAACAAAGCAGTCTGTGTAATTTGGCAGTACAGCCTGATCTTTGCACCATTCACTTTCCAGCTTTGGTGGTATTTATGTGTGTGTGTGTGTGTGTGTGTGTGTGTGTGTGTGTAAACCTTGGCAAAGGCAAGCATGATATTTTAGGATGTCAGAATCTTTTTCTTTTTCAATAAGATATGGTATTAATTTATTTTAGAGACAGTCCATTCCAGAACTGAATTCCGCGCCCGACCCGCCCCCCCCCCCCCCCGCCCAAATCTTAGTACAATTTATTAATAGACTTCACTGTTAATAGTAGGCCAGAGCTGATTATTTTGAGTTGATGTGGTGGTGAGGGTGGGAGGCTAAATGCAGCTCTCACCTTAAAAATAAAACTTTAGATCTCACAGCTCTGACAAAATATCCAGGTCCCTAGGCCTGGATCCCTTTAGATGCTAGACCTTTGGGGGCAGAGCCAAGATTGAGTTACAATATACAATACCTGTAGCACTGATGACCTGGAATAGGAAACATTTTAGAATACATAAGGATGATGGTTTGGCCATCTGGATGAGGCCAGAAATGCCCTAAATTAAAAGTGAGAGCAACATCAAAATAGCTGATCTTACAGAGAGAATAAACTAGTAGTTACAAGTGGAGAGAAAGAAGGAGGGAGAGCTTAAGATACACAAATGCTATGTATAAAATAAATAAGCAACAAGGGTATATTGTACAGCAGAGGGAATATAGCCATTATTTTGTAATAACTTTAAATGGAGTATAGGGCTTCCCAGGTGGCTCAGATGGTAAAGAATCTACCTGCAATGTGGGAGACCCAAGTTCAATCCCTGGGTCAGGAAGATCCTCTGGAGAAACTAATGGCTCCTCACTCTGATATTCTTGCCTGGGAAATCCCATGGACAGGCGAGCCTGGTGGGCTACGGTTGGTGGGGTGACAGAGTCAGACACAACTAAGCAACCAACGCTTTCAGTTTCAAATACTTTAGATGGAGTATAATCTATAAAAATATTGAATCATGTTGTATACTTGAAACTAATGTTGTATATCAATCATACTTCAATTAAAAATAAATAAATGCAAAAAAAAAAAAAAAGTTGACCTTAAAATAACCCGGCCTCTGTGGTAAAGTTTGAGGGGAGGCTGAAAAGGCAGATCTCTAGACAAATTAGATTATAAAAAAATAAGTTTTTAAAATCCGTTTTGAAATTACCCAAAAGGATACACATATCCCAATGTTCATTGCAGCACCGTTTACAATAGCCAAGACATGGAAGCAACCTTAATGTCCATCAACAAAGGAATGGATAAAGAAGATGTTGTATATATACACAATGGAATATTACTCAGCCATTAAGAAGAATGAAATACTGACATTTGCAGGAACATGGATGGATAAAGAGATAGCCATACTGATTGAAGTAAGTCAGAGAAAGAGAAGTATCATATGGGGTCCCTTAGTGCTGAATATAAAATGAAGTGATACAAATGAACTTCCTTACAAAACAGAAACAGACTTGTGAGTCTGGGAGAGTGAATTTGTGTTTGCAGGGTAGGGGGAAGAATGGGGGCAAGGGATAGTTAGTAGTTAGGAAGTATGGGACTGACATGTTCAAACTGCTATATTTAAAATGGATAACCAACAAGGACCTACTGAATAGCACAGGGAACTCAATGTTATGTGGCAGCCTGGATGGGGGGAAAGTTTGGGGGAGAATGGAGAATGTATCCATTCATGTATCTGTGTGACTGAGCCCCCTTGCTGTCCACCTGAAACTATCACTACCTTGCTCACTGGCTATTCTCCAAATTAAAATAAAAAGTAAAAAAAAAATAAAATAAAATTAGTTTTGAATACCTCTAGGATGGTCACAGTGTTAAGCCAGTTTTGGGTCATTCACAGGTTGGTGTGAAATAGTTCAACAGGAGATGGAAAGAAGAGTGGAGCGGTGGGATGAGGGAAAGCTGGGTCTGAGTAGATCTTCCTCCCAGGGAGATCTGAGCAGCAAAAGGGAAAAGAATCGTCTGATTACTTAGGTAGGGAATGAGGAATTAGGGTGTACAAAAGAAGAGATGGAAGACACTGAAGGCAAACTTTCTATTTCGTAGTTTTGTTTAAGACAACTTCTAATAGGTGGATCCTAGGCCCCCATCTACTTAGATGGACTAAATTCTTATTGAAAACCCAGGATAGTGATAAACTGATAAACACACTGTTACTTCTGTAGCTGGTCAGTAAACCTGCACCCCTGAGCTGCACATCCCTCACAATGGAAAAACTGTTAACAGTGGGATGTCCAAACCATAGAATGGTGGCAGGAAGGGGGGAACCTTCAAGTCTATGTGAAAGGAGTGACTTAGTGATTTAGGAGGAACCATAGATCCAGTTTTGAGTGACAATGAATCACACTGTTGGGACTTCCCTGGCAGTCTAGTGGCTGAGACTCCTTGCTTCCACTGTAGGTGGTGTGGGTTAGATTTCCCTCCAGGGAATTAATATCCTGCATGTCCTGTGGCATAGCCAAACAAACAAAACCAACAAGTCACATTGTCACATAGTCTTTTCACTTCTCTTCCAGTCTTTCTAGAAAGTATTTGGTGTTAGCATGTCTTTAACATTTGCTAATCTGAATTTTTAACAGAAAGCAGCTCCAGACTCTACACCTTCTTCAGGTTTTAGCATCTAACTGGAATTTAATAACATTGTCTTCCATTTATGGTAGTGATACTTTATCATTTAACTCTCACATAAACTTTGCTTTTTAAATTTTAAGTTAAAGTGAATTTACTTAAAGAAAAATTATTATTTGGGTGGCACACGGGTTGGCCAAAAAGTATACATATGTAACTGAAGTTTGGGAAACACAGAGCTTATGGTCTCCTGGGTCCCTTTGAAATCTAACATTTGCTCATTTTGTACTGGTCTAGGACACCGAGGCCCAGAGAGGTGAAGTGAAGTTACTTAACCAAGAAGATCACTATCTTTGAAAACATTTCCTTCAGTTTCTCCTGACTAGAAACACCCAAAACTGTAGTTCCCTAAAAAAGTATCAGACTTAAGATCCTCGTGTTTGTTCATACTTCTCTTGGCAATGATGACCCCTGTTATTCCTGTTTCTCAGCTGCAGCTTCCCCATGGCCCTTGTGAATAGCTCAACAATCCATGCACACATCATAAGACAAGTATAAGTTATACCCACTGTCAGAAAAGAACATGGGCAAGTGTGTCTGAATCTTCAGAGAAGCAGATGCTAAGACAGGATTCAACATGCAAG